CAGATGCCATCGCTCAATATTACTGTTCGTGTCTAACAGGTAGGCGCACAGTAGGAAGTTGTGCATATACCGTTTCAATAATATGGTATCTAGGGTTAGGCACATTCAATTTAAACCACCGGCAGGTCATCTAAACGACATTATTATTGATATTGATTGAAATGTTTTTAACTGATAAACAGCTGTTATTAGTTAAAAATAAAAAAATTGTTGGCGTTGTTTTCAGCTTACTGTCAGCCACTTTACACTCCTCAGCTGTGGAGGAATTACACTAAACAGGAACATCGCAGGCTGAAGGTGCAGTATAATGATTCGTTCCGCGTGTTGTTCCGTCAGCCACGATACTGTAGCGCGTCTCAGATGTTCGCAGAGGCCCGTGTCGTTGATTTGGATGCGTTGATCCGTCACCGTATCGCGCGATTTAGAAGTTTTGTTTTTGGGTCGCAGAATAATCTCATCAAAATTATTTGTAATATGTATGCATGTAGTGAAATTTTTAGTAGATGGTCAAATTTATTAAAATGTAATTAATAAAATATTGATTAACCAATAATTATAATTAAAATTAAGGTTTAGTTTAAAAATTTTAATTTTAATTTTGTAATGGATCTGTGTTGTCTGTATCAAATAAATTATTATTATTATTATTATTAACTGACAACAGCTGTTTTATTTTTTTATATGTATTTTGCACCTGGAATTAAAACTGGTATAAGATGTCAAACAACAAAACTACAATGTCATAACAGCATTACTTTGCAGGATTATAGCTTATTTATGGTAGGAGAAAACTATTTATAGAAAAATAATCCCATGGATTCTTCACATGAGTTTATATCTTTATATTTATTGCAGTACAAGTATATTCAAAGTGATCTCATCTCTGTTGGTGGGTGAGCCCAGGCTTCATACATTTTTGCCCATGGTCCTTTAATTTAAACTGCAGGGAATGTAATGAAGTGACAAACCAACTGTAAAGTTAATAAAGTTACAGTCCGCCTAAAGGTAGGTGGCTACTGCAGCCTATGAACATCTGTAACCAATTTCATACGAAGAAGGTTACAAATATGTTGTCACCTCTGAGAAGTAAGATGGAATGCTTCACAGCTGGAATGGCATTCCATCTTAGTCCTCCTATAATTCAGACTAGAGCACGGCAATGCAAACACTTGTTCGGCGGCAGAAATAAATAAGGGAGTGATATTGACCCAGACCGGCTCCTCGGTATAAAAGGAGTACTTCTACATAGTAAATGGGATTCAAGCAGGTGCCGTCATAAAATTATCTAGCTAGCCTGACTTATAGAATGTTTTTTTTATATAGGATAGGGTCACAAACGAGCACACAGTCCACCTGATGGTAAGTGATTGAGGACTAAGATGGAATGCCTCTTTTCCAGTAAAAAGGGTATCCGGTTCTCTACACTCACCATACGAAACACAGCAGTGTTAAGCTGCTATTTTACGCTGGTATTTAATTGTTATAAGATAGACAGGCTGTGCTGTCTATCTTTTTCATTCTTGACACACTCCATCAACAAATGATAAACATCTTCAATTTTGTCGCACAAATCACAATTCGGTGAAGGTTGTTTTCCCATTAAAAAAGCGAACTTTGCTGATGTAATATGACCAGAACGAAGCCTTAAGGCTAACTTAACAACATTTCTGCTGAGATCATAAGCAACCCAGTTGGTAGAGCATCTTTCACATCCTTTCAACATTCGGATTTAGCGTCATCACCATCATCATCACCATCACTACAATTTATCAACAATAAACAATGGTCAACTGCTGAATAAAAGCCCCCCATATATTGTCTCATATGTAGGATTTTCTATAGTTGCTTAGCGTTTAGGTTGGCAGTTTATTTTTATTTCTAAGATGTTAGTAGGAAGACGCTGCCCATTTTCTGGTTTATTTGGCTCTGTGGCGGCTTATGACACCAACGGGGCGGCTAGTGGATATTCTTACACCACCACTACATGATTTCATAGATAATTGTTTTGTAATACTGCGAAAGTTTTGTAACTCGTTATCTAAATAAACAGTATTTAAACAAACGCATTTCATAACCAAAGATCTCCGTTTATACGAAACTGTATTTTTAAAATTAAATGTGAACATAGTCGTTACTTCTGTCAAAGTCTACGGTAATCATAGTTGGGATTTGCAGAATCGAGTTTAATTACAGTACGGGGGGAAGAGCAAACGCAAATAAACCAATACACGAGAGTATATTCGAATAGAACTTGTATTTTTCACTTCTTGTATTCACCAAGAATATTTTGGATTTGCACTGCGTCTAATTGCGATGTTTGTCAGAGATATTTTTTCAAAAGAAAAAACATCTCTGACAAACATCGAAGTAATTCCATAGTTTAAATGGAATTAGTTCGATGTCTATTAGATATTTTTTTATAATATACAGTTGATCAAAAACACGCATGTGTAAAAATCTATATTTTAATTGGAAATACATGTATTGTATTGTTGTAGAACTAATACATAATTAGTTCTGTATGTAATAATTTTAAGCCTTTTTCTTTTTTTTTATTTACTTTCCTTTCCTTGTATAAAGATAGTTAATTTATAAAAAGTATATTAAAGTTTAAGTTTAAAAACGTCCCTGTACTGAGCACAGGCCTCAACTAATTTCTGAGAGGATTTCAACAGCTTCCAGTTAGTCCACCTCACTGTTTTTTTATACATATAATCGTAATATTTAATTTCTCAGACATGTACGTCGATGTTTTCTTTCGTCGCCGAGCACTTGGTAATCATAGTGATTTCTTATATTTACACGAATACTAGACATTGAATAAAAGAAATTTCAAGAATTTAATCACATTTAATTTAACTTATTTATTTTACAGCACGCAGCGGATCTGTGTAAATTGGACAAAAATTAATTTTCAAAAGCAAAAGGTAGCCCGAGTTTATGATATCTTCCGATTTTGGAACTTCAAACATGTTTTTTACGTGGTAGAGCTACGCTGCAGTGGTTCGTCCAGGATAGGCTGGTATTCTGTGACCACGCTCTCAAGAATACCAGCTTAAAATAGCAGCTTAATGTTACTGTGTTTCGTATGTGAGTGTGGGGAGTCGGAGAACCTTTTTACTTGAAACGAGGCATTCCATCTTAGTCCTCAAGGGTGAGAACGCATCATCCATTTTCAATCAGATATACTGTGTGCTCATTGTCAACCTTATTCTATACCTCTCAGTAGTGACCATAGAAGCTGTCTAAGCACTCGAAACGTCAAAAATTAATAATAAGTTAAATTACATAAACGTAATAACATTAGTTTTGTTCAATTTGGAAAACCAGCTTTTAAAATTGTCGTATCGTGTCATAGTTGTACATTGAACGTACAACTTTTGAAAGGTTTATTTTAGATGGAAAATCTCACTATGTCAGCATAACAAAAGCCTACTATTCATTCTTGTATATAGTAATCGGATGAAATGAAATATGCCGGAAAATTATTCCATTCCTTGTACGCATTGCGGAAAACGAAGCAAACCGTTTCGTTTGAATACGTGGAGTATCGACAACAAAGGTGAGGAGACTCGCCGATAGTCTTGTTGTGCGATCGCTTAGCCGAATTAAATTAGTATTTCGAATTATAGAACTACATTTGAATTGGTAAATGTTTTAATCTTCATCCGCAAAAAAGTATTCCTTTAAAAGGCCCACTTCATTTCAAAGTCAAGTGCCTTTTCTACCTCAGTAACTCCAGTTCGTGATCTGAAAGACTAAGCAGGATTAATATTTCACATTTTTGGAAAGTAAGAGCAAAAGCATTATTTAAAGAAATCCAGCAGCATTTATAATTTAATAAATAATATTATAAAGCAATTTTTTAAGTACAAATGTTTTTTATGTTTCTTAGTTTTCTTCTTAAATTCCAACTGGGTAAACTATTATTAAAAACATGCGTGAGCGTCCTGGAACACCTTTAACAATATTATTGAATACTTAGTACAATATTATTGATTACAAATACAAATAAACTAATTAATAATTACTAGCGTCTATTAAAATGAAGCGTCACTTAAAATAAAATAATATTTCTTTCGAGGCAAGATCAGATAACATGCAAGAGAGATAGTTATTATTCCATCTCGCTTCCTTATATATATACATTTGAACAGCGTAAATAACGTACTCGTAGATTTGTCGGTGTGAGATCCCTCCTTCCGCTTCTACTAATATATATTCGACCAGATCCGACACTGTACAGCTATACACTAAATGTGAACACAGCTTTCCGAAATTCAATAAACAATCATCGGATCTCACCTTAGAGTAATAAAATATGTATGTACTAGTATACAAAGAGCTGAACGGACCATCGGTTAGGTGCTTTTGTACGGCCAAAATTATCCAGTTACTTACCCATTGTGATCTCTTCTTTTTAATTGGCCTATATTTAGTCAACTACTAAACATACAATATTTCCCAAGGTAAGATTGTAAAGATTTCAAATTTATTTTGAAATTTCTTGCTTTCAACTATATTATAAAATGTATTCTTAAACCACAGATCTACTTCGCTAAAATCATAATGTAACTGTATTTGTTATGTCAGATTATTGAATGGTATTGACCGTCTCTACTCAATTTCGATAAACCTTTCAATAAATTTTAATATAGATAAACAAATACATAAGCTGGTACCATCCACTCTCGTAATGAAATAAAAGTCAGACTCTTTGAGTACAATTAAAGCAATTTTTGAAATATTTTCTCACCTGAGAAAGGAGTATTCCAGATGAACGATTAGAAATTAAAGTACTTCTTCAAGGTAGTATAGAGAAAGGGGAATTTCAACCCTACAAATAAAATGCAATATCATTTTACAAAAAAATTTAAATTTTATTAGTAAAAAATTATAAATTCTTATTAATAAAGCTAAACCACAATTTTTGTTAAATAATAACTTAAACTTACGCCATTAGTCTGATAAATGGTTTGCATAAGCTAGGTAACTTACAGTTATACAGGAAAACTCTTTTTCAAGTGATAAGCTTCTATTTTTATGTCTTGAATGCTTAAATTAATTAACTTCCAGCCACCTAGGGGATAAACTCTACTACTGAACACAACATCACCAATTCCACAAAACAGCTCCAAAGAACTTGAATCCAGGAAGATTCTCCACGTATGAGAGTTATTCGGTTGCCATTCGACTTGGCGGATATCGTCAGATCCTCTGTCAACTACAACCTTTCCAACCTCAGAATCCCAACGGAGCCAAACTTTATCGCCTCCTTCTCTTCCTTCTAGTTGTAATTCTACCTTTTCATTAAAGTTTGCTTGAATATTAATTTCTACAGCTTTTTCAAACTCTACGCCTTCATTTTCTTCTAAATTACCCACAATAGCTACATTTTCTCTTAGTACTAACATTTGGTCTATTGGTTTCATGATGATTTTACCGTCAACAAGCTTTAATTCTCTTGCGATCGTCATCATTCCGGCCCATCCATCTACATCTTCTGGATGCGGTACTTCCCACATACTAAACCATGATATTAGATATCTCTTTCCATTAACCTCTGTAGTTTGAGCAGCATAAAAGTCATGTCCGAAATCTATTTCTTGAAATGGAACTTCTTGAACAAATTCAAACGTTTCATAATTGAAGCTACCAATGATGTATCCATTTTGATAAGTGTTTTTATACCTATCTCCTTGAGGAACTAATCCTTGTGGCGACATAAGAAGGACAAACTTCCCGTCCAACTCGAAGAAATCCGGACATTCCCACATGTAGCCCATATCGCCTTGTGATTCTGCAAGTACTGTTAAAAATTCCCAACTCTTCATATCCGTTGACCTATATAAGAGCACCCTTCCTCTTTTATCATTTGTTTTGCTGCCAAGTATTACATACCAGTGGTCACCATGCCTCCAGACTTTAGGGTCACGGAAGTCAGGAGAACCATTTGGTGCTGCTGGTAAAACAGGATTTCCACTGTATTTGTGAAAGTTGGTGCCATCGTTACTAAACGCTAGATACTGGGTTTCATTATAGTACGGTTCCTTATCAGAAACTATGTGACCTGTATACATGAGTACCATCATGTCTCCATCCTGTACAGCACTGCCAGAAAAGCACTGTTCTTCATTCGGCAATAAAGCGGTTGGCAGTTGTTTCCAATGAACTAAGTCCGGGCTTGAGACGTGACCCCAGTGCATAGGTCCCCAAATACTATCATATGGGTAGAATTGATAGAAGAGATGGTACTCTCCCTTGTAGTAGGAAAACCCATTGGGGTCGTTCATCCATCCGACTGGAGGCGCCACATGATAATGAGGTCTGAATCTAGGATTTATGTCAGGTATCTTATTTTCTATGTAGTTTTCTAATTCTGCCTTAGCGTCAACATATTGATGAATCGACTTGCTGTACACGGCTGTGATGAAGCAAAACCACAGGAAATTTCTTAATGGAGCCATATTTGATAATTATGGAAGGATATGCGCCATGAGCCTCAATTTATATATTTTTCTTTGCAGATCTTTATCATGTGTGATAACATTATCTCCTGAAGTGTTTTGTTAGGCGTCATCTTGACTTATAGATAAGTGTTTTCTAATACTTATATTTTAACAAATGCGAATTCCTGAACTCCAATATTTCGTTATATAAAATTATTTTGTAAAAGGTGCTTTTTCAAAGACCAAATTAAATAGGCTGACTTCATGTGCATCATGAACAACACCTATATACTCTGAAAAGGAATCCATTACCGTTACCATTACAGTCCACTGCTGAAAATAGACTTCCCCTATAGATTTCCTAATAGGGAAGGGGGGGGGGAGTATTTTTCATTATTCCCACGCTTAGCAAGCGGGTTGGCGACCGCAGTTCTTTTATTTTTAGTCGTTATTAGACGCTGCTGCAATTCTAATTTCTTTACCTCTGCCGCCACGTACGACACCCACGGAATGGTATGGTTGGTTCGTACGAACGTGGAATAATGGATAATTTTTAAACTTAGAGTTTAAATAAACTGCGTTCTTTTGTTTATCCAAAAAGTGTGAAGCTTGTAAGTATGATCTTCTGTTTCATAACCCACTGTCTCGTCACTGTTTTTTTTCGACGTCCATGGGATGATATAATGAGTCAACGGATTCTCTTACGTTGGCACTTTATGACGACTAACTGCGCAATGTAATGAAACTGTAGAAAGGTCATGCCAGACTATTAATAGTTTTTGGATAAAACAAATCACTGGGGCTAAAATAAAAGATGCTGAAGCCAAATTAATCTTTTTTAGAATATTTGTCTCTTTGTCTATGAGGGATTTCCTAGTAATTTTGTATAAAAGGAAGTTTATTGCTGTAGACAATAAATAGGCTACCTTTTATTCGATAACAAGCATGCGAAATAGAAAGTGCTTTTTCCTTCTTTAGATGTTTATTTCTTTAAATAATAGCTGCTGATTACTCCATTAGTCATAATTTGCGAGAAAACGTATAACTCTAAAGTATTATTTTAAAAAAAATTGTTTTGACGTATTTGAAAACTGCAGCGACAATCTTCAGAAAACAGTTGTTTGAAAACAAGAAAACAAGTCGTATTCACACAATATTTTGTTTCGTCAGGACGGTAGTTGATAGTCATTAGCTGTGTTAGAATCAAATAGATGGCAACTTACAAGTTCTATACATAAGGACCAAAATTACTTATATTCATATTTAATGTTAGTTTTGTGCAAAAGGAAAATCATAAAATCTGGACGTGATACAGTTGGAGCTGTGATTGAGTTATTAACAATTTTTTTATAGTATTATGTTGACAAACGAGCACACAGTTCACCTAGTCATAAGTGGATGCTGTGGCTCATTGGAATTTATTCTCGATTAAGAATAAAAATGCAGATTTGCTGTCACCCTTGAGGATTAATATGGAATGTCTTGTTTCCAGTTTTATAACACAACAGCTTTAAGCTGCTATTTTACGCTGGTATTCTATGAGAGCGTGGTCCTTCCCCCTTCGATCCGACCCATTCATGCTACAACCATAATATAAAACTGTAGCGTAACTCTACCTAGCTGTAAAATTTATAAGTATAATTTACGCTGTATAAAGTCCAGACAGACTTAGGAGTAAAATTTATCGCGTCACCCACCGGAAGAAACAGAACAATGTCTACGAGACCTGCTAGTATAGTATTAAATAAAGTAACATTATTTATTTATTTCATTACTATATTTATTGTTGTAGATCGATAGCATTGTTTTATATATTAATTTCTTAAAATAAATTATTAATTGAAAATCCCTTTGAAGAAATAAAATCTTAAGAATCTCTTTAAAGTATTTCAATTTTCGTAGCTTCTCATTTCACTGAATACTGAAATGTAAACTTTGGAGGTAATTATGAAGCTCTGCAAACGCTACTGGTTGATGGAATAATTAATTTGCTTGCTAGTTAATTAGGGAAATGTACAATAACATTGTACATTTATTTTTATTCATATTTTTTATTATGTATACCTATGTGATTTTATATTAATATGTAAATTTTGATTTTTTTTTATAGGATAAGGGTGACAAACGAGCATACAGTCCATCTGATGGTAAATGGTTGCTGTGCCCCATAGACATCTACATCAAACAAAATACCGATGCATTGTCACCCGTGAGGACTAAGAATGAATGCCTCATTTCCAGTAAAAAGAGCCTCCGGTTCTCTACACTTACCATACAAAACACAGCAGTGTCATGCTGCCATTTTACGCTGGTATTCTGTGAGAGCGTGGTCCTTCCCCTATCCAGCCGACTCATTCGTGTTACAACTATACTACTAATATAGCTGCAGCGTGGCTCTACCACGTTGGTATTATACTTTAATTTAAAACACATTGCATACTACATACATTCAATGCTCTTTTTATTGTTATTTAGATTTTAGAAATCTCATATTCGATCTTCACATCATCGAATTAATAAAGCCATGAGAGGGAGCACCCATACCCATAGCACAGGGTAACCTATCAGGGAAGTCCGATGGAACGGCGAACCGACCGGCGCAAGCAAAGGAGTGGAATACCGCCAAATTCCTGATTCAGGCTGATACTGAGAATTTATTGACAGAAAAAAAACCCGAACCAAATGGTCTGCAATCGCGCTTATGACCACTAGAACAATCAGACAGTGCCAATATCCTCATACGTTATTAGAAGCTGCTGCTCATCTCCTGGTTTGTTAAACCTCTGTCATCTGTCACCTCTAACACCCACGGGACGACATGGGGTAGCGGATATTCCTACACCACCGCTAGTAATTATTGATGACCAATGTTTATTCGCTCGCTGGATTGTGTCGATGTATTTGAATTATGTTATGTTGTTATATAATCAGTTATTAATGTCAATTTTAATATTGTAAACATTGTTTACAAGTGTACCATACTGTTGATTTTCCTATTTTATGCTACTACTTTACTTGGTCAATTGCTTAATTAATTTATAATCATAAACGCGTATAATTGATTTTTTCATTTTAAAGGTCAATCTGCTTTATTATTTTTCCTCACTCAGTAAGCCTTCGCTTCCACCTTTCGAAATCATAATATTTTTTTTTATATTCAGATATGTCATGTATTTAATATGAATATTAATTGTTAAAATTAATAATATTCTAAGAGCGGATGTTCAACTTGCTCTTCTACTTACGCAATTAATTGTCAGCAATAAAACAGCGTACTGCACTATACATTCAGTAAAGTATAGCAAGTACAGTTCGACCATTACGTAATATTAGGGTACTACCTCTTTGTTCTAGTGGTTGTAGTAGTGCGACTGTTGATCAATGAGGTCCCGGGTTCGAATCCCGAGTCGGGCCAAAAAATCAGTTATTGTGTTTTTGCATCAAGAAATTCTCAGTAGCTGCTCGGAGGCAGCAAGTTGGCGGTGTCTCACCCCCGTGCCTCGGAAAGCACGTAAAGCCGTTGATCCTACGCCTGTTCTCTCTCCGGTCGTGTACGGTTGCCGTCCCATCCGACTATGAGAGTGAGGGAATAGAGAGTGCACCTGTGCTTGCGCTTACACTTGGGCACAATAATCCTATCCAGCGCCGATGGCTAGTCTCCGTTGAGATTGGCCGCCGTGACCGAAATTCGGTCTGGAGGACATTATTATTGTTAATATTAGGGACGTAGTTAGATGATAACACCAAAGTATGCAAACCAACAGCAACTCTCACTGTAACATAGGGCTACAACGGACAAAACCAAGATACTGTCACGAGTCTTAACACTCGTCCAATTACTTGGGCGAAATCCCTCGCGCACGACGCCTACAGTGAACTTTATACTGCACAAACGAGTGGGGGGTTTCTCGATATACCCTCAATTCCACCTTGCCACCATTCATATGACTCCCCGCTAGAATGACGCAACGTGTCAATCCAACGGTATACACCGGTATAGACGCGCCGATAAATATTTCTTTCATTTTGCGACTACTTCAATCCGTCCATTACAACATGTAAAAGCTCACTGCTGAACTCAGGCCTCTCCATGATATAATCATAGTTGCCACGATTCGCTACCTTAGTTTTTTTTTTTTATTGAGGTGTTTTCAGAAAGATGCTGCAAGTCGTGTCCCTCTGTCGCGTCTTACGACATGTGGTAGTGCATATTGTTACACCGCCAGTGCACAGCAATGTCAATCTCTGTACAGGATTATTTATCAATAACCGGCCAAATTTGCAGAGAAGGTTCAGAATAACTAATCTCAATAATTCTGTCCGTTTGACCTTTCAAATTCAAAATGTGTTCAAAATACATTATTTTATCTGATTTTACTGCGCACGCACACATTCGTAAGGGTCGATCGGTAGGCCAAAAATGTTGTTGCCCATAAATTATATTCAATTTGGGATAGTTTTAAATAAAAGTAGAAACCGTATTTACTCGGTATTTTCAAAAACTGCCATAACGGTATATGGTTAACTTCCTTCTGCGTAGCATTGAAAGGAAGTTAATGGTTTTAGCTGGCAGTCTGTTAGTCTGTATGCCGACACGATAACTTCCGTTCCACTGGACCGATTGACTTTAAATTTGGTATGTGGATACCTTGAGGTAGTAGCTCGGTCGAGTTTGAATTTGGGTCCTGTAGGTCAAAGGGCACCAGAGATATGGGATTCACGCAGAAGGAAGTTGTTTTTCTTGAATTTACATTCAACTCGTTATTTATATATTTGGACTTCAGTTTAAAATTTGGCTTTTGTATAACCCTGTATATAAAAATTTATTGCTATCCGTTAGTCTCGCTTAAACTCGAAAACGGCTCGAACGATTTTGATGAAAATTTTTGTGTGCATTTAAATAGGTTTCACAATTGATCCCGGTAGGCAAGTTGTTGGAGGTCCAGAGATTGCCCGTGGGAAACCGGGGCTAGTATTGAAATAAATTTTGTACACATTTTTAATCGAGTATTAGTTCC